TTTTTTTTTTTTTTTTTTTTTTAGAAACGTTTTCCACATTTTCTCATTTTCTTTTTATTATTGTTGGTTTGTTTTTTTTGTTTTGTTTTTTTGTTTTGGCAGAGGGGAAAGAAAGCATTGTGCTATCTCCTTTTTTGAAACAAAGATGCTTAAATTTTGACCTTTCTTCCTCAGGCACTACAAGTAGTTTGAACCCTGCTGCTGCTGTTGCTACTGCACTGGCAGTTCCGACTGGCATTTCTCCTTTCCCAGCCCCTTCTTTTATGACTGTTTTGATTAAAAAAAAATATTTTAGTGGGAGGAAAAACAACCAAATCCACTTGCAAACACACTAAAGGAAGTAATGTCCAGAACACTACATGTTTCCTCCATCCTATGTTTGTTGCCGCCAGTTTAGGGCTGTAACTTGGACTGACCATTACTAAGTCTTTCCTTTCTAGAGAATGGGAAACACGAGCAGGAAAGGGACTGATCCTAACATTCTTGGGCTGTCACCTTTGCTCCTCTCAGTTCCAGTTCTGCCCCTCCCCTTCCACTCTTGCTTAGGTACACTTAGGTTTTAGGCAAGGAGACAGTTCCTTTCCTTTCATTCTTGGTATCGTCACAACTTAAATATACTTGCATGCATACACACTAATGTCTGCTTTCACGCCTCTGAACCTATGCACTTTCTCCGGCTGTGACACACACCGATCTGTCCTGTCATTCAGACCACTCTAACCTCCTGAATTAATGTTATCATGTAGGACACTATACTTGTTGCCTTTTTATTGGCTCAGAGCCAGTACAGAAAACACTGAACTTAGAGCTGAGATTATTACTATCCTTTAACATAGTCTTCATTTCTTCTATGCCAGCTTCTTCTCTGAAGTGGTTTCTTTTAACACAAAATGTGTTTGCAGGTTTCTCAGTTTTCAGGCAGTTTGCAATATCGGACATATATCCATGCAGTCTACATAGGGATCTTTCTCTAGGAGCTAATAGTTAACAGGTATATTTACCTGTCTTACTGCTGCCATAACTGGAAATCATTCCCGTCCCCTCCATGTTTGTGGATTAGAGAGCAGAATAAGAAATTCTTATTCAACTCTTTCTCCCACTTCAGGTAGTTTGCCAAAGGCAAACATGAAGTTTACAAAACAGTTTTTGATGGACGAGACAAAGCCAAGGAAGAAAGCATCACTTCCTTAATCCAACCAGTGCTACATGTTCACACCAGCCTGTGTGAATATTTCAAACCTCCAGACAGTTGGAAAGAACCTTTACTGAAAGGTTGAAAATCTCCAAAAAAGTACCTAATTACAATATGAAACCTTACCTTTTGTTTTTTCCCCACTAAAGGCCAATTTTATATTAATATGGCTCCCAAGTGATGTTTGACCCAGAAAAAAGGACTGCTGGTTGGATTCCATCTTGAAATGGCCACTAAAGGCCAATTTTATATTAATATGGCTCCCAAGTGATGTTTGACCCAGAAAAAAGGACTGCTGGTTGGATTCCATCTTGAAATGGAAAATAAATAAGTAAGTGGGCAAACCAGGAATTTTAGGAAACCTTCTCTCCTGCCTTTTTGTATTTCTGTTGACAGGATTAAGGGAGTCAGTCATACTGAAAGAGTTCCTCTCTTCTTTGGAAATCCTGGGATACTGAAGTAGTTATGCTTGATAGCAGTTGGGCTTTTATTTTCCCCAGTAAGACAGGTGTTCCAAACAATCCTTTGTGCGTTCATGATGGTTGTTGCCTGACACTTTTCTAAGCCATCCTTTGAACACAAGACCATTCTCCACAACTGGGAAAGGCTTGGGGGGGAAGGGAGAGAAATTATTTAATAAAGGAACTTAAAACTGGAAATCTTGAAGGATTTGTCTCTCCATGAAGACAAATTCAGGGCATGAATAATGTTACATCTTTCTCCAAAAAAGATTACAAAATCTGGAGCATTTTAAAAATCATTCCCACAGTTTAGAATTCTTCCAAATAAGATGGGATGACAGTTTCACTAGTATCTGGTTTCACATGAAGGCATTAATCGGTGTCAATAATGTCTCTTACATGAATTTATCTATCAACTGAACCAAAACTCGCCTGGAAATTTTTTTCCTTTTCCAAAGAAAGCTCAATAGTTATAGCTGAGTCTCAGTTATTGTCTGTTTATAAAGAAAAGCAAGTCTGGTGTAAATCTTTAAAAAAAAAACAATTAAAGCACCTAACTACACTGGTTGTATTTCAGCGGGGGTTGCAAATTTTAGATTCAACCAGTCTTAGCTAAGGGGATGTACATTTAGTTTGCATACATAATTTGTACATACGTATGTATGTTCTTTATCTAGAAAGAGCTCAAAATCAGCCCAGATCTTGTTTCAGAGATACACACATTCAGGTCCTGGTTGACAAGGGGAGACAATTTTCATGCCACTATCTAGTTCCAGAGAATCCCTTGGTACATTTATATTTGTAACTGTGGGGGAGCACATTTCTAAATCATTTTATGAGTTGATACAGCTCTAGGTGAACTTCACTGTGTTGATATATATATTCCTACTCTCTAGATAGAACACTAAGAATGCCACACCGAGCCCACTTAGCTGGGAATAAGTGTGAATAGTACTGCTGACTGAGCACAATGAGACCTTTTTTGCATACCTTGATGGAACATTCGCCCACCAACTGTGTGAATGTGAATGTACCAGTCTTGCCTGAGAAGTCATGTGGGTGGATTCCACCCCCTCCCCCTTTTAATATACTTCATGTGCATGTCCTACTTTGCTCAGAAAATAGCTGCTTTGTACTTCAAGGCATGTTGCTGGTTTTCTTTGGTTAGAATAGGCAATCTTGTTCATTACTGACTTTGGTAAGTCCAGGGCATTTTCTAAAAGGCAAAGCGAAAGACAAGTACAGAATCTAAAGAGGTATAAAGTCATGTTCAAATTGCAAGGATATCATTGTAAGATTTTGAGCTGAAACAGCAGCCAGGCCAGGTGCAGAGGACCTGATTACTTGAGTGCTGATCCAGGAGACTGCAATTGATTGGAGATATTTTCAGAAAAGTTATTGTCCCCGTTTAAATGTAGGTAAATCTGCCTTAGAAACCTAAGGTATTATATTGATTTCCTTCTTTTACTGATTTCCTTCCTATAATTCCACTAAGAAATTAAGGGTTTTTGTGAATTTGCAGGTAGTTTTGTTTTGTCTGTTTTTCTCAGAATTATAATTCAGGTGCTGCTATTTTTAGAAATCCATGATGAAGGGCACAAACTTTGTGGTATCCCACTGCATGCCCTGCCCAGTGATACTATGAGCATTTGCTTTACTATAAAGAAATGGCTCTTCCAAGATCGAAAGTTAATTATTAACATTAACTCCAATTCACACTTCACTGCTTTCTCTTTCTTCCAGTTCTTCTTTTCTCTTTTCTACTAGTTTATTTTATGCAGGAGAGGCTTATTTGTTACCTAGGACACGATTTACACAGTGCTTCTATGGTACTATAGTCAGTTATATTATATAACAAACCCCACTCACTTCACATCTGATTAGTAGTTTTCCTGAAAAATGGAAGAGACAGAAGTTAACTTTTTTAAAATCATATACATTTTCTAGAAACCAAATAGGGGTATAGCTCATTATTTTCTTACACTACAATAGTCTTTAATCATATTCTAGTTTTTAAAAAGTATGTAATGGATGGTGTTTAAAAGGGAGGTAAACGATACAAAATTTTATTGGTATGATTGGTATATGTGTGCGTGAGAGAATTATAATAATAGTCTCCGCCTGAATTCTCAAATGGTTTTAGGAGAAAAATTAATCAGCTGTCACTTTTGAAATCTGGCCTTGTTTAAACAATGGAAAGAATAGGAGGATTGAACAAAGGTTGCATATTTAGCTGGATTGCAAGAAAAAGAAAACTAGGTATCTAATCAAGAGTGCATGTGCATTGTTGAGAATGCCCACCTGCATCACCTCTCTAAGTCATACATGGAATTATAGGGATGAATGTTGCAGTATGAATAGAGATACATATCCAGGTCACAGTTTTTATAGCAACAACTAATATAGAACAGTTGCATGCACATGAGTTCCTATTATCATCCTAATGCTTGTGTCTTATCTCTCACCCATGCTGCCACCCATGTTGTTGCATGTAATATAGAGGTTGACCAATTATATTTACCAGCTATTCTTTCATGAACATGAATGTGATTCTAATGAACAGACTCTTAAGAGAAAACAGCTGTGGTAGCGGTAGTAGTAAACACTTTTCCCCAGACAAAAAACATGCCAGCTTTTTCCTCAATCTGCATTAATCCCAGTCTTGCTATTTTCGGCTAGTACCACTCCCAATTCCTGAATTCTGGTTTATATGCTCCAATCCAGCTGCACAGTAGACTCTTAAAATTCTATGCCTTTGTCCCTTTTTTCTACTGTTCTCCTTAGCACAGTATTTCTGGTAGGTTCTCTTTTCCCTTCCCTGAAAATGCAGAGGAATTAGGAGATTGAAATGGCATAGACTTTTTTTTACATAAAAATGCACAGAAGTTAATACTTCTTTCTACCATCTTGACCTCCAAACTAAATTGGAAGACTTATTCTTTAAATTCCACTCTGAGTTGGGGATACCTGTAGTTGAACCAGTCAATATAACTTTACTACAACATCTTGCCTTCAGTGGACAAAATACTATAAAAAAGCAAAATAACATCCAAATTCCTTCCCCCTACATTGGTTTTTAAAGCAAAAAATACTGCAGTGACAACAGTATTTCACTGTGTGACTCAGAACAGAATTTATTCTCCCTAATCATTAAGAGTTTTTCCTTATAAAAGTATGTTAGATTGGTCTTCTCTAATCTCCATTGAACTCTTATCTAGCCACTGCTCAAGATGTGAAAAGCTTTCTTGGGTTATCATTACTTGTTCAGCTGAGTGTCAACTAAGAGCTCCTATAACATAAATGTGTATCATGCGTTCATCCCCTCCTCAGTAATCTTGAGCAGAGTTACTTGGATATAAGTAGTAACATTATTAGTCTTCAGTTTTTACAGTGGGAAGATTAATCCCCTTTCAACAATTGGCTTTTCTCAGTAACCCTGTATGTAGACAGTGGATTTCTTGCTACTAACAGTGACAAGAAACCAGCTGTTTCCTGCGAGCCAACTGATCAGATTAATCAACTAACAAGCAGGAAAAGGAGGCAGGGCTTTTAGATGTTCATCTTATACTGAAGAAATGAAGAAATTTAGGAAGAATACAATTTTATCCATATTCATTGGATACCTTCTTCTGAAAGAGGTTCTATTATCTGTAGCTTCCTCCCTCTTTTCTCAGCCACCAAAATAACTATGATGTTGGGAAAGGCCAAAAAGAAAGAGTTAATAAGGTTTGGACAAGAAAAGTGTTTAGTAGATCATAATTATCTGATCTGTCATGGCTCCAAGCGGAAAGTAACATTTAGATTATGAAAACTAAGAATAATTTGCTCTGGGAAGAAACCAGTTCTGGGGGAAAAATAAGAACAGGAGACCTAGATCTATATCCACTCCATCCCCCAATTATATTGGCCTCTTTTCAACAGAACATAAAAGCTTATGGAACCTCTAAGGTCAGAGCAATCCATAATTAGAAATAAAATTGCATCCATACATCTGTCAATGCAGGGCAATTATAACTAATAAATATTCAGAGGCATCCAGAATTTAATGTTCAGTTGAATTTACTTCATCTAGAATGCTTGCTTCTTATTCTTTTACCCAAGATAGAGCTGCTGTTAACGTTTTGTAGTATCATGTGCATCACCGCATCACTCACTGGTTAAACATTTTGCAGTCCTTGGTACTTTCCACTTTGAATTGGAAAAGACAGTTCTGGGCAAGGTGAACTCAAGATGTGAATCAGGAGGCAGCTATTTATGTCTCTGTCTTTAGTCACCTTACTGAGTTGGGTGGCCTTGTAAATGAAATAAATAAATAGGTGTGGGGCCCCGCCTTTGAGACTGATAAAGAGAGTTAAGGCAGAATCTGCTTTAGGAAGATGACACTTTTGAAGAAGTGTCATGACAAAATGAATTATACGGTAAGTCAATCTCTTCTATCCCACCCCTTTTGACCAACAAATTTTGCACTGACTTTCACCATTATACTTTGGGAGAACTCTGAAATCTTCTGCTTTGAGCTCAGAGATTGAGAGAGCAAG